CTTTAATCCTTTAATAATTTAGTGGGGGGAAAGTGGCCAGTTATGGAAGGCATCTACCTGAGCTGACATGTACTAGGCTTGGCTACTAATGGCTTTCCAGCAATCCCACTGTGTCCATGCTGCCATTTACAAGAGTACAGTCCATTTGGCCCTTGTTCTTCCATTGTTGGCAGGCAAAGTAAAAAATACTAAATCACTAAGTATTACAATTTGTATTACAGTTCTCTACCCAATTCTCCCTTCTAGGACTGGTTAGCTCAGCCTCAACCAAGTTCTTACAACCAGTTGATGAGAAGAAAATTCATTCCATGAATCCATTGGTGTCTATGAGATCAATAATCTATCACTGATACAATTTCACTGAATTCACAGGCCACTGAGACAGACACTGGAAAACAGCCAGTTCCCTTGGTAGTACCAGTTTTAGTTGAATTCACTTCTAAGTTAAGAGGTCTGACTTTATGACCCTGTCACCTTTTCTTTCCTAGAGTCATGTGGAAATGACAGCCTTTGACCCAAGCGAGGATTTCCACCTAGGCACACCCTGCTCTCCCACTCCCCATCAAAAACATTAACTCTCGGGCCTCCCTGGTGGCGCAGGCGGTTGAGCGCAGCACTGTGAAGCTGCCCGCAGCCTCTGCAGCACCAGTTCGATCCCGTGTACAGACCTTTCCTGCTGCGCCCGCTGCTCCCCTCAGCAGTGTACTTCGTCAGTCTGCCTGTTCTGTTCTCCACTCTGTTCCTGGTGAATGCTCTCACCCTCCTGTGAATCTGGCCTGTACCCAGTGCTTGTACAAATAAATAAATCTTTTTTTTAAAAAATGGTATATTTAAAAAAAAAATTAACTCTCCCCCAACTACACACTTCAGGTAATTTGTGATCACACTCCATAACTCAGCAAGCTCCAGGTATGGGCACCTAGGTAAATAAGATCACATCAAGGAGGTTAAATGATTGGCCAAATTTCATTCACCCAAAGAAGAGGCAAAGCAGGATTAAAATCAAGAATTCTGAAAACTACACTGCTATGCTCTAAGTCATCTAGTTTCCAGTCTGTGGAAGTGACACATGAACTAACCCTGTGAACAGGACTGTGAAGCAGAGTTACAGTGGAGAAAGAGACTGGGCCACCATGGTCTGGAACCAAGGTGGCCAATGTCCCATCCTGAATTCCCTTGTCTCCAGAGCTCTCCTGAGTATCACAGGCAGCAGCAGCTCTTCTGTTACTGGTAGGCTGGTAGGTTGATGGGGATGGTCCAGTCACCAGCACAACTGACCATCTTCTGGCCTGAGGCAGCTGGCAGACCTATCCTGGGGACTCGCCCACACACTGTACACCTTGGGCTGCGCTGTTACCTAACAGAGGTGTGCATGGGTTAGGAGCAGAAGCAGGAAGAGGACAAACAACTGGAGTTCACACTCAGATAACTGGAGTTAAGTCTCAGCATTATCACCACTAGGGCCTGAGTTCTATCCCCAGCCAGGGAGGTGACCCATGTATGATGCAGCAGACCTCCCCTGTCTCACCCACTGCTCCCTTCAGCAGTGTATTTCAGTTAATCCGCCTGCTCTGCTCTCTACTCTGTCTCTGGTGAATCCTCTCACCCCCCGAACCTCTAGCCTACACCCTAGTTCGTCTACACACACACACACACACACACACACACAACCACTCAGACAACTGGTATCTGTAGAAGGAGGACACAGGCTGCCACCCCTCAGGTCCATGAACCAGGAAACCTTGGAAAAGAGTTTATGTCGAAGCTGCAAGGCCACCTGAGGGGAGGCCCTGAGGAGTGATGGGAAACAGACCCATTTCTCCCACCTCTGTTCCAACGTGATCCATTCTGGCTGATCCATCAGAGAAAAAAGAATTGGTGAAAGATCAAAGCAGGGGCAGAGACTCTGCACTCACTCGGTGTGTCCCAGATTTCTGCTCTAGCAACTGCATGCCCCTTTCTCTCCTGGAACCTTAACTTCTGCCCTTTTCTGGCAAAACTCACCTTATCCTTCAAGTTCAAAACTACCCCATCCTGAAACAGCTTCCTTTCATCCTGTCTTCATCCCTTGTGCACCTTCTTCCCTCCCATCCTTCAACTATCCATCATCTTCAAAGAGTTGGCCACATCACTCCCACATCATGTCTTCAACACATTTTTTTTTTGCTCCGATCCATTAAAATGCTGTCCTGGTCCCTCCACGGCTTTAACAGAATTACTCTTGGTAAGGTTACCAAGAACTAACTGCCAACTCCAAGGGCAAACAGGTAGCCCGCCTTCTTGCTGTTCCCACCATATCCCTGTGTTGCCAAACCCCACTCACTGGGCATTCTCACCCTCCGCCTAGACATGTCCATGCTAGCCCCTCCAGGCACCTCAGTCCCCAGCCCTCCTGATGCCCTGTGTGGTAACCTCCTGAATATCTTCTTATCTCCTATTTACACAGACCCCCACTTTTCAAAAGTTCATGGCATACCTTATCACTTTATATAAAAATTTGTATTAATGCCTATTTCACTAATGCAAAGAAATCTGACGATAATTTCCATTTTCACAGCAAAAGACAAAAACCAACAATGGTGTTAGTGTGGGTTCGAAGGTGGATGCCTGGGAGGCACCTTCACCCTGGACACAGAAGAGGCCCCACCACGTCCTTCCCTGGAACTGCTGTCTCAGGCTGCGTATGTGTCACAGCACTTCAGTTTCTGCTAGAAACAGTGTGACATTAGTTTTGATGTGTCACTTGGTATGGCTGGGTAGGTTATTAGGCAGGGGGATTGCTGGGGGCGGTGCTAAGAGCACTCATGAATTTTTCCATATAAATGAATGGTGACTCCGCCTTAACTTTACACCACTTGGGCATCCTTGGGGCTCATGAGTGTGTCTACTTTCCCTTAGTGATAACATATCCGAAACTCTGTGTCCCTTGGTTCTGATTTACTATGTGATGACAACTATGGAATGACTGTGTCATTGTCTTCACAGTGCTTCCAACAATTTGAAATATATATTTACTTGCTGGCATATTGTCTGCTGCCTCTTTCATGAAGTTTTACAACAATCTCATTAAAGTCATTCTCTGATTAATTTAGTCATGCACCCAACATGCATTAGTCCATTAACACATTATGTTGTGTTCGGTAAGGGGCAAGATGGAGACATAGCAGTCAAAAATCAAAATGAAACAAAAACAAGAATGTCCCTGCCCTCGAAGAGCTTGTGATCGTGTGACACAGACAACAAACCAACAAATAAGTAGATGTTTCCAATTAAGATAAGCACTGTCACTAGCACTAGCACATAGTCATAGGGGGCCAAGGGATTTAGATAAGCTGCTTCTCTGTCCAACTGACCATGTCAACCTTAAAACAATTTTACTCCATAAGGGAAGAGAAAATGCTGCCATTTACAGCAAAATGGAAGGAGTTTAAGGGAATTATGTACAGTAAGACAAGTCAAAATGACAAAGGCAAATAATGGACATTTACATAGTAGATGATTTGACAAAGTAAATACTTATAAAAATTAGCAGACATTGATAAACAAAGTGAAATTTCTGAGGTCAAGAGGGATGGAGAAAGGGTCTACAGGATATAAGCAATAGTGATGGGGGAAAGAATGAAAAATAAAATAAAATTTAAAAAAGGAGTTACTGCAATAACCACCAGCTACCCAGGCATGGTAGCTGCCAGAGAGCAAAATTTTACAGACCATCCATCCCCATAGACAAATGTGTGACCCATAGTTGATTAAACAGAATTATGTCTTGCTAATTTGGAGCTGGATGGAGATCACTCAAATTGGGCCTACATGGAGCTCTGGTGTGCAAAGAGAACACTAAGGTGTGTGCTGCCAGCCAGGCCCCAACGAACAACAAAAACACAATTTTACTTTTATCTAAGCATCTGTTTAATGTATGTCTCCAGGCAGTCTCTGCTAGGTTGTTAATACACATGCTTTGCTTTATTCATTTTTACATACCTGCTGCATACAGGAATTTAATAACTCTGTTTGATGATTAAACGAATGAATGACTGATTTAATTAATAAACCAACTGTTTATAAGATTCCATTTAATGCTAAATTTGAGAAATCCACACACATGGAGGTAAAGTGCAATCCATTGCTCATGTATTACCTGAAAGCTCTAGTTTCATTAAATGCCAGTTTACAGAGATTAAATTCAGACACACATTTCATCTCTCTAAAATTGACTGGAACTAGTTTTAAGAGAATCAAGTGTGGGCAGTGGCGAGAGAAACAATACAATCCAGGAATACTTAATTTCCTTAAAAACCAAGGTTCCATTATCCCTCTTTCAATCCTGCCAGGCAAGTAATAAGCAGGAGGAATGTCAACAGCGCTGGAAGTCAGCCTCGCACAGGGCACAGTGGGATCTTTTCTAGCTGAGGCTGGGGCTTGTTTGAAAATACAACACAGTTCAGAAGAAAACTTGGAAATGGGTTATCCAAGGAATGGATGGACAGCTGCTGGCTAGTCCCAATGGAAGCTATGTCTGGAAGGTTCCAGAACTGATATTTAACATTTCTACTGCCAAATGTGCAGACAGGCTCCCAGAACAAAAGTCACCAATAGCAAACTGGAAGCTGGAGAGTAGGGAAATGAATGTTTGTCTGTCCTTTTGTCATTTTTCCAGAATGTAAGACCCTCCACGCCAAGGGGACAGCAGAGACCCACGCAGAAGGGGGTGGGAGGAACAACAGGACAGAGAGGATGGCTTTGTGCTTGGGGTTGGGGAGGAGTTTGAAACATAGGAGTGATGAGTGTCCACTTGCAGCAACTTTTGCACACACACGAGCCCTCAGGCGATCTCCAAATCCAAAAACACTTCCCGTAAAACCGCAGAATACAATCAACAGCTGACCGTCAGAGAGCTGCCTGAAAGCTCAAGTATCTAGCAGGTGGGGACTTGTTTTCCAAGAGCTGGTTCAACAGGACAAACTGAGAATTGTGACCTCACTGGGGTGTGAACACCAGAACTCGAGCGGCAGATGGTGTGATTTAGTGGAAAGGCCATAGGACCGGGAGCTGGCAGCGGAGATGGCGCCTAGCTTCTCTTTGCCAACATGAGACCTAGGTAAGTCCTGGCGTCTCTTAGACTCAGTTTCCTAGGCTACAAAATGCAGAAGAAGAAAAAGTCCCTATCTAACATTTTTTAAAGTGTTGCGAGGTCCAATAGAGATAATATATGTGAAGGCTCTTTGAAAACTGAAAAGGTTACATTTCATTTCAACACATCTTTTGATGGCATTTCCGATAAGCCAAGCATGGATCTTATCCTTTACAAATACTAACCCCAACGTCTCTATGTGGTGGGTACTACTATTATCTCAATTTTCCAGAGAGGAAATAGACAGCGAAAGTATGACTCTCGCCCAAGAGTAACATAACTGGGGAGCAGCAGGTGGACCCCGAGTATGGAGTTCATGTTCTTATCCACCACACTGTGATGGCATCACACATAACTCCTACCAAAATTAAGAGTTTTACTCATATTAAAAAAAAACAGCAATAACAATACCTATCCCTGTATAGTTCTCCATATGTTACCTAAAGGCTTCTTGTATATACTATCTCATTTAATGCTCAAAATAACCCTGCAAGCTTACTACTATTATTATATTCCTTTGTATAGATAAGGAGAGTGTTTTTTGGACATCTCTTGATGGAGGACATAAGTTCAAATTATTTTTCCATTAACGAAGATTGGGTATAGTGCCCAAAGCATTCATATCCAGCTGGCTAAACCCTCTTCCATCTCTCAACATTGGCTTTTGAAACAGAAGACCCCCAGACAATAACAGAGCACAAAGAAGGCAAAACCCAGCAGGAAAGGTGTGTGTGTGTAATCAAGGCCAATGTCAGAGACAACTAGGAATATGACCTATAAAGAGGTATTTGTATGCAGTCCAAACGTCGCTCCTTTACTGATCCCATTCTAGGGCCAGAATATTCTACTATTAACTGAAAACCCTCCCATCAAAAAGTATCTTTGGAAGAATATCACATTATCATACACATCCCAGTGTGAACACTTTCATACTACCCTCTCCAATATCACAGCTACCTAAGAGCAAGCTTCAGCCTGCACACGGGGTAATTTGAAATGTAAAAGGTCACAAGATGGTTTAGATCAGAAAACAAGCAAGAAGACAAGGCTGAGCTGAGATCCTGAAAGCATTCCTGGGCAGCCAGTGCTATGGTGGAGTACAGGGACTCCAGGTGCATAGAGCCCCAGGGGAAGAGAGGTGTAGCAACCCAGGAAGTTCCAGTCAAAGAGATGCAGGAATTATCTCCTGGGATGTTCCTCCCCTTTGGATTTCCAATGTCTACTCATGGCACTGCCAACTGGTTCTCATCTCCGAAGAGCCATGCCTGCCTCCCTGTGAAGATGGCGGCTGTCATTGTGCGTGCCTACCAGGGATGCATGCACAAAGGAATCCCTGCCACAATGTAAGGAGGGGTAGGAGGAGAGGGGTGAGGGGGAGCCAGCAGCAGGGGAGGAAACTCTGGATGGTTATGTTAAAAAGGATTTGTTCCACTGTCAAAACCAGAAAGCTCTCCCCAAGAGCCAGCTTTAGGGAAGGAAGCCTGAAATGACAGAGAGGGGGTGGGATGCATTAAAGAGGCTTTTTGGGAAGGAGGCTAAAGTAAAGGAGAGTATTGGGCAAAAGGCAGGTGGCCAGAAAAATCCACCTCTGGACTGTGATGGACCATCAGTGCCTGGGGGATGAACAGAAACTGGGTCTCTGTTTCCCTGTGTCTATTGGGTCTCAGACAAAAGGGCCTTCCTGGGCCTCCCTGATGGCACAGGGGTTAGTCTCAGCTCTATCAGGCTATCAGCAGCCACTGCAGCATGAGTTCAATCCCTAGCCAGGGAGCTGACCCCCATGGCACAGCAGACCTCTTCTCCACAGCAGACCCTGCTCCCCTCAGCAGTGTATTTCAGTAGATCTGCCTGTTCTGCTCCCCACTCTGTGTCTGGTGAATCCTTTCATGGCCCCTCTGGCCTGTACCCCAGCTCTTGTATGCATAAATAAATAAAATAAATCTTTTTTTTAAAAAAGGGTCTCCAAAGCCACCTTGACTCTCCAGAGCAAGGACAGCTCTGTCCATCCAGGCCCTCAGAGACTCACCACACCTGGCTCTCTCCACACTGGGAGAGGGCCCATGGCCAGACAAGCTGCTGAAATCTATACAAGCCCACCTTCTACACTCCCACTTCTGAAAGATTCCATCCTGCCTCTAGAAACATCAACCTCTTCTCCACCCTGAGCTGGGGCCCCCCAAACCAAGCAGCATCAGCTCTCACTCAGGCTCAAGCTGTCCAAGCACTCAAAAGAAGACATATTGGGACAGTCCTGCAGAGACAGAGGGGACCATTTCTGGGCCCTGGGGGCACAGGCCCTAATCTGTTGCACAGTGAATGACAACAATGTTAAGAATGAAAATATGGTTTGTGGGGAGAATCCCCAGGAGCCCAACATTTTGGTATTTAAAGGAACTTTAATGAGCTTAAGAGGCTAATCTGGAGTTCAGGAGGGGGTGTTTTGTTTTGTTTTGAAAAATCCTTTTAAAGGTTCCTGAGGCTTGCTAGGGAGGAGGAGGCAGCAGAGTGGCTGCAAGGTAAAGGGGGGAGTGGGGGGAGTGGAGGGAATGGGGAGGTTGGGAGGGGGTGGCAGGGGTGGGGTGCGGGTGGGGAGGGTGAACCCAGGAGAGAAGACTGCTTCACAAGCCCCTTCTCTTTGCAGCACCAGAACCTGGAGCTGAAGAGATAAAGGAATGTTCTTTCCAGGCTGGAAAAGAAGCAAAAAATAGAGAATAAGTGATGTCTCTCTATCCTATGAAAATGCCAGCCAGCTTTGCACTGATGACTCCCTCTCCTGGCTCACTGAGGAGAGCATCAGACACAGACATTTCTCTGCTCCATCAAAAAATACCCACCTATAGTAGCAGGGCACACCCCAGCATCCATAAAGTGCCTGGCACATGCAAAAACAGGCTCAGAGGCCTAAACAGACACCCAAAGAATGTGGTCATGGGCCCCTATACCCCTCACCAAATACTGAGCCAAGTCCTGTTCTGTCACTCTCGTGGCCATATGACAGAACTATTGTTTAGTGCATCTAAAAGACTAATTAGTTTTCTCCAAGTGAGAGAAGCAAGAGGACTAACAGTCCATAAGGTCGGCCTGGGGGGAAAAAAATGAAGCCATTGATGAGATGGTGTTTAAGTAATATCTGATGCTTGCAGGAGTCAAGTTAATAAAATTCCACAGGGCATGGGGGAGTGAAGGGGAAGCAGAAGGGGACAGGGCCAGATGTGAAGTCTAGCTATGGCATATGGTCCATTCCCAGCAATGCTGGAAGCTAGAGCTATTTTCTGACATGAACAGAGTTTAATCGGGCCTATGAGACAAGGTAATCCAACCCATAGTGACCAGGAATCTATCAGGGCTTGTCCATTATTTGATAATGATGATGAGACATAAATCTAATAGGGTAAAGAGATACTAGGCCTGGAAAATCAGAAAGCCAAACATACTGTTATCCAAAAATAGGATCCCTTAAGTGGAATCAGAAAAGTCTGGAAGAGACCAAATTCTTTGATGTGATTTCAGCTAAAAGACTAGGAAAAGCACAGTCCATTTTGTATTTTTAGTTGTTATGACATGATGGTGCAATCATGGGGGATCTGGCCATGATTTCATTAAATTCGAGCTCATCCAAGCATGGCAGCCAGGTGACAAGCTCTACAGACGACTCGGTTGCCTTGGTTCACAACTGAAAAGAACAGCACAGAGGTGGATTGGTAAAATCCTTTTTTAACTACCCAGATGGGGCTATTTGTGTTCAGACCGAAGACACCCACAAGGTAGCAAACGGAGGGAAGACCACGGTTTTATTCCTTCCATAATATCTCCCCTAATACTTTAGTGTTTCTGCTGCATTCCAATCGCATCTGCCATCTAATGCCAAAAGAAACTTAATCCCTATCCTAAGTCTCATTTTATTTATTTTCAGTAGTGTGAAAACAAACATGTAGCAAGATTACAGTGTTTACACCTCCTTTCAGCCGGTATAGCTCTAATCCCCCTGCTAATTAATGCCAGGGCCAGAGTGATTTTATTAATTTCATCTTGGTTAAAAATATAGAGAAAGATAATTGTGCTTTACTGAAATAACAATTTGACATTTGGAGAGTGCTTGCTTCATTTCAGCAAGACGGTTGGCTTGGTTTCATTTAATACACGACGAAGCGGCTCAAAGCTACAGCCGACAGTGGTCAATGATAACATAACTAATTCTAGTTGATAAAACAGCCCACACAATGCTAGGCAAGGAGACTGGGGATGAATGTAAATCTATACAGCACCAAGCCAATTTCTCTGTCAGTTTCAGAAAACAGGCACAAAGGAAGAAAAGGAACCCATTTCTCTGTCCCCTAGCGATAAAAATTTTCTCTTGAATCTTTTCTGCAGTTTGCTCCTGAAAATCTGATCAAACCAAATCTGAAGAGGCTGCTGGCAACAACACTGTTCTACGTGTTGCTAAGAGACTTCCAGAAAAACATATAAGGTACTCTAGGGGGACACGATACATGCTGCAAAAAGGACCAGGCTTCCCTATAGGAAACTTTCTGAGAGGGTAGGAGCCGGGGCCTGCTCCACACAGCTCCTAAGCATCCTGATCTCATCCTGCAAAAGTCCGGCTAAGAACTCCTCTCTTAAAAGGTACATGTTAGAAAAATGGCAAAAAAACAAAAATGGAAAAGCAAAAAAGCTAAAATTCCAGCTAAAGCAGAAACTATTTTTAAATTTTTCTACGTTGGCTGTGATTGTACATTTTTCCCCCTAATACATTCCCAGAGTTGCACAATTGTGCTTCATAATCAATGTTAATGTGATTCAATATCAGTTAATGTGAACTTGACATCAAAAAATGACATTCTATAACTATAAGAAAGTGAAAATCAAAATCAACAAACAACTATGAACCAGAGACACTCTATGGGGAATGGGGGGCGGGGAGGAGAGGGATTGGGGTCAAAATAAGGGGGTTGCAATTGTATGGGGAATATAAAAATAAAATTTATTTTTTTAAAAAAATGACATTCTATAATATGCATTTACTCTAACAGCTGTAGTAAATTTCTAGCAATATAGTCAGTATTCTAAATCCTTGTCTGTTTTCTCACTTCTAAACATTATGATCCAAATCATTTCTTTGACCATAAAAATAACAATCTGATCATTTAATAAATGGAATTGTTCTCATTAGAGAAGCAATGCCTGCTCGTTATCGGAAAAAAAAAAAACCTCCCGGAATTAAAAAGCAAAAATTAAGACACCCCCCTCTAAAATAAGTACAGTATTTTGGTTAACACAAAAGTGCAAATAATACCAAGTAAGAAAAATGAAACTAAAAAGCGAGACACATGATGATCAGAAAAACTCCTATCACTGAAATCTGAAGAGCAAAAGCAACTCCTTAGCTGGGGGTATGACAAAAGTCCCAGAACTCTGCCGTATGTAAAACCAGACTGAATAAAAAACTTTTTTAAAAATGTGCTCCCTTTATGTAAGGATCAAAAGAATCCCACAAGCCTCCTCTGAAAAGCAATGTTCATATCTAATCCCCAGAATACTATTAATATCTACTCCTGCTATCTAATTTTATTTCAAAAATTTAAGTCTTAGGCTCCAAGAAAGCCCTACCCAGGGACCAATACATATAAAAAGAGAAAACACCTCTGAGCAAGGACTGTTTTCAATCACCCTCTAAAAAAAAAAAAAAAAAGATAAGTCGGTCTGCACAAACACACCACAGCCATGGACGGTGCTTATCCGGAGCTAAGCCCCCCTGCAATTGAACGCAGACATCGATTTATTACCTAGCTATGTTTGATTTTTATATTCCTTAAATTTTATTATGCCAGGAGCAAGGCCAACAGAAGATAAAGTAGAGCAAAAATCTAACCATTGGTTCTGTCATTTCTTATGTGGACTCCTTTTGTGAGTAACTGCATGCCCAATTTTGAGCACCAAATAACGTCAGAGTAATGAAGCCAAACTAACTCTTCTCCCTACACACACACACACATAGCCTCCACTACCTTAATAAAATGCAGAATTAGTTCATTACTGGGCCTAATGGAGATCATTACCTCTGCCATTTTCCCCTCGGGGCTGCCAATCAGCAGGTTGAAAGAAATATACAGAGAAAGCTTTAAGTGTGACAAGCACTTTGCTCCATCTCCGTCTTTTTCTTCAGAAAATTGGTCTGCTTCAAAGCAAGGGGAGAAAGCCCGGACGGGTCCTCGGAGGCGAGGTTTCCCAAGGCCTGCGATTTGCTGACATGTGGGGAGTTATGATGTTATAAGAACAGCCCTGATGACAGCAGGACTATCCCACACTGCTCCTAGGATGTCCAGAACAATCTAAGGGATAATGATAAACTTCACATGTGAGGGCAGAGGGTCTCGTCTGATGCATGGGGCCGCCAGGCACATGAAAAGAACAATATAAACTTGATTTAAATGTGGGATTCCTTCCAGAAGGCTTAATTATCTATTGTATTACCACATCCCCATTATTCAGCAGCCTCTTCTGTGTCTGACTTAAACCCAGCTACAATATTTGCTTGGAACAAATTCAGGGAAAACTCCAAACTCACCAGCTCAAGGAGGATTCAGTTCAATATGGACCATCAGTTATATAAATAGAAGTCCCCCTAGGCTGAAATATATTTTGGTTGTCTGCTAACTTTCAGGAATGTTGAAAACTGTTGAATCCAGCCTTTAAACATTCACACCTAGAGCCTCCTAGTTTTATGTGACACGGTGCAGCTTCATTCGAGAAATGTATCATCCCACTGAACTTGCTGTTTTCTTTTGATGACATGTCTAGAGCAATAAAGGTCATCTTTAGTTCTTAATTTCTAGACATTCATAAATCAGTTTTCTACACTCCAGCCTTAAATGTCTACTTTTTTAGATAATCAGAAGATAAATTATTCCTAAGGGTGTTACAGTGTATGAGACAAAGATCTAACAAAACACCCCCAAGTTTTCACATGAGTGGCTGTGTGTCTAAGATGCCATTGTCAATTCCATTTTTTTTCATTAGACAAACATGGTGTTTGACATCATAAAGGTGTAACTGGTTGATAGAATAGAATTTTCACTTTTTAACTGACTGTCACCAGGAATAAACAGCTAATAATTCAAATGCAAAGTTGCCCAACAGCCAAAACTGCACATGCAAATGGATAAAATAAATATGATAAACTCAGTTTATTAATGTTATGACAACCGCCTCACATTAGTTATCCTTTCATTTTAATTGTAGAAATGACATTTGAACTTTGTGAATTTTGGAGATAAGGACACTGCCTGAATATTGATTTGGATGAACTGCTCCATAATTTACCAGCATCAGTATCCCACCCCTTTAACTCCTATCTCACTTTCCTTTCCATTTGCCTCTTCTGGGCCTTAAATTATAAAAAGATACACAAAGAGGAGCAAAATTATTTTTACAAATATAGTTGTAAAAGAGGAAAAGTATTCTCTCTGCTTCTTGAATATTATTTAAAACTGAATTATATCCTTCTGTGTTGGATAAACAGCTAGTTATTCTGAATTACTTCAATTCAAGCAGAAACACTTGATAGTTAGGATAACACAGATGAAAAGCATGCCAGGCTATCAGCCTCCTGCAGGCAGGCTCTGAGCCTTTTTCTTGATATTCTTTTATGACCTAGCCCAGTGCCTTGCATGAAGAAACACTGATAAAATCTTGCTAATATAGGAATTTGTTTTGAGCCTAATACTGAAACAAACCTTTCCTTTCTCTCCTACAGCATCTAGCACGCAGACTGATACCATTATGGTTATCAAATACATTATGATTCCAATTTTGTTGCAAGAATGCAGCTGGGATGGGGACTGGAGGAGGAAAAAAAGAATACAATTCATCTGGAAAAACAACTGAGGGTTGAGCATGGACCAGTGCTGATATCATACCAGTCTAAAGCAACACCACTATAGACTTTCCTGTTTCCAAAATATATGTTAAAATCCAAATGAAAACTCCTCATTGTGATATCAACACCTCCCTGAACAATGTAGCTCTCACTCCTCTTATAAAATCTCGATGCCGGCCAACAGCTGGCAAGTTGATCCCTGCAATTTTCCCTTTGCAGAAATAGCTTTGTGAGGCAGAACTGACCCTAGTGGGCTAATAAGCCCAAACTGCGCCAAACCTGGAGGGCTGAAATGGAAGGGACATTGTTGTGTTAAGTACTTTACAACAACTGTTTCTTCTCCTCTTGACACAGCCTGACTTCCTTAAAGAAGATTTGAGCAGCCAGACAGCTGTGTTGACCCTAAAGCCTTCTTTGATTCCTGATTTTTTTTTTTAACAAACAGAATAGAAATTCACAACCCAAATCCTTTCCTAAGCTCCAATACTTTTGAATTTGCTAGTGTCGTGCCTGAAGGATGTGGACATTTCAGTAATCTATAAGCAGAAAGATAAAGACTGGGTCTCCACAATCCCCAAACCTGCAGATGAAAAGCCAGAGAGGAAAAAAAGCAGCAAGCGATCAACCAGAAGCTTTATCCAAAGGTGAGACTTGCTGTCGTGTGGGCAAAATCTACTTAATTACCTAAAAATCGCACTTTTCACTCAGAGACCATGACTGGAAACAGACAACCGAGAGCAGATACCGGTACCTCTTCTTTTAAAAATGTTAACTGTAGTTACCACTTTGTGAAATGGCATTTTCAGTTCTTATATATTTCTGTCTTGTATGACTTACCCAAAATGGACCATTGGGGACAGGGGAGGAGTTGAGTGCTGAAAAATGTAGTTATATTTCCCAAACAAAAAGATGCTGGTACTCTTTCCACATGGGAGTAAAATTCAAGTCAACGATTGCAAAGGAGCACCGAGTAGCAGAAAGAATTCTGCATGTGTGTGGTCACTAGTGCTAGCAGCCCTGTCGGGTTTAGTAGACCTCATAGCCTAGGCAACAAGGAAAAGAACACATTTGGGTTCTTCCATGATGCTCTTTGTTATACAAGAGCTGCACACCCTCTCCATTGTGTGTTTTTAATAATAAGACAGAAAGTGCGTTTCATGTGCACTGACTTTCCCTCCATCCTCACATAGTGCTGCCCCCTATATTCCCCAGTGACATAAGTAGAGTTCTGCTCATGCCACTCTGCCCCATATAACAGTCCTGGTGCACAAACACAGGTCCCATTCAAAATGCCTTTCTTTCCTTCAATATCCTCCATGGCCCTTCGAAGACAGAATCCCTATTAACTATGCATTTTGAGAAGGAAAATAGTTCCCTCTCCTAGAGGAAGAGGGACTAAGCAATTCCACTAGGCAACAGCCAAGTCTGCCAGGTGGAAACCAGGAAATGCACGCCGACACGATTCCCTGTCCTCAGCAGACTGGGCATCACAGAAATCTACAAACTGAAACATCCATTTTCAAATAAAAACCTGCCTCCTAATTCTCCTCTCCTACACCAAGAAGTTCCCCGAAAGGAGAAAACTGAACCTGCTGGGTGGCAGAAATACATGCCCAGAGGTGAATCAGGGAGGAAGGGGAGGAGCTGCAAGTCAGACCCCAACTTCTGCCCTAAGGGCCCCTGCCCCCAGGGTTTTGGCAAAAGGGATGGAAAAAGGAGAGATACAGCAAGAGAAAAAGCAAACAAACAAATGGGGGGTATGTCACTGAACCATTTCTGAGTGCAATCTGTCCGGATCGTGGTGGACAGCGTCAAGCAGGAAAGCACCAAGAATCAAAGTCATGGGATCAATCAGTTAAGGCGCTGATTAAAGCACTTGGGTGGTGCAGGTAGCTAAAGGAAACTGGGAATGGAGAGGGGAGAGAGTCTCTCTAGTGAAGGAGAAAGGAGGGATGTGGGGCTGGGAAACAAGCCTGATGGGATCAGCGCATCCACAAATTATTGTCCTCCGGTAATGGCCAAGTCGGGGTAGGTGCCAGGGAAGACTGAAACCTAGGCGAGCATACCAAGATTGATGGGGAGCCACTGCTCCAGCTTTGTGGGGCCTGGCTTGGGATTGGGCTCAACAGTGTAAATTTTTGGCGCCGCAGTGGGGGGGGGGGAGGAGGGGCAGGGGGGGACTTTGGGGTGAACAGGAGTTCTGCATCAGTGGGTATGCGAGTGCCTCTTGGGCTTTCCAGAAGCTGATGGGAAACAAATCAGCGCGCGCTGATGCCAGTGTGTGGGGCACGCTCGCACGGGCACGGGCACTTACTTCTCGTAGTCGTACTTGCAGTAGAGTTTCTTGTCCCTATAGAAGCAGGTGGTCTCCAGGGGCTCTTTGCAGGAGGCACACTGCACGCACTGTTCATGCCAGAAGCTGTCGTTGAGCCGCAGCAGAAACCTGTCTGAGATGACCCGTTGACAGCCCTCGCAGACAGACTTGGGGCTCACCGCTCTGCCTATAGCAGCAATAGATGTTCTCGGTGAGAGTGCCGACCCCCGGAATCCCAGCCAAACCCCACAGATACCTGCTTCTGATCACTCCACACCCAAGGATCCCCTCCCCCAAACCCCCACCCCAAGCACCCCCTGCTAATCAAGCAGAATTTGGAAAGCAGAGACAAATCAAACCAAGTGCATTTCTAATAAACAGGCATTATGTGGGAAAGTTTAAATTCTACCAGAGGAGGGGAGGGGAAATCAATAAGTGGGCTTTAAGTATCAAACCTACACAGGTATGCACATAAAGGGACTCCGATTCTGTAAAATTAGACTACAAATAAATGTGTGATCCCAGGTTTACCTTGTATTAAATCATTTACTATGCTCGTTTCTATTGACTATTTTTTAAATTGTGAGTGTGTAAAAAAATTGGTTTCCTTCTTCTGTTAAAAATGCGATTCTGTTCTATTTTTTATAAGGAAAGCTTTCAAAAATTTTTCTCTTCCTAAAATGTCCCGTGCGTACAGATAAAGACCGCCTCGTTCCAGGCAAATTCAATTGTTCAAACCAATGAATCCCAAACTGCTGCTTCTTGGCTGGTGTGCAAATTGCAGATGGGTTTTTCATAATTGAGAAGCATCAAAATAAAAAGAAATGAGGCGGGGGCGCAGGGCGCGGAGACGCAGCTAAGTGCCCGGGCTAGGCTTCCGGGAATCTAGCGCGCTCAAGTCACGCGTGAGGGCGAAACCGACCCAAACCCGACTCGGTGCAAACAGGGAATCTACTGTCCTATCCCTTGAATTGTCTGTTTTGCGGGCTTCTTGGGAAGGGGTGGGGGGCGCTTAGCAGCTTTTATGGGCACATTTCACAGCTACTTAAAGAAGTCCTTGTCCCCAGTAACAATACTCTAGTGCGCAGTGTCCCAAAGGGCCTGACCCTTCCTCATTTCCCTGCTACATTCCTGAGGCTTCCCTTTTGGAAGAACGGGCCACTGGCTCATGTGCGGGCAGGTCGCTTCGTGGCACAGACAGGTGTGTCAAGGAAAAAGCAGCACGATTGTTCTCAGTGTTAAAATTCTCTATTCCTTCGGCCTGTCTCGGTATCCACTGCCAAGCTCTGGCCGCCGGGAGAGGACGCAGGCCGGGGGAGCGCACAGAGTGATCGGCGGTGCCGCCGTCGATTGCAGAAGTTCGCGCGCTAGGTGCCAGGGCAGCAGCAGCTCTGACCCCAAGCTCTTCCCAGGCTGTGTGCAGCCGGGACCTTCCTGAATGCTCGGCGGAAAAGGGGGGACACTGAGAGCGTGATTTCCGTTTCGTCTAGGGAGTTAGGGGTGGGGTGGGGGTCATTCCTTTCGGGATACGGATTTATTCCCCTGAGGACCTGTCTCGTCCTCCGCCTTCACTTCTCTAGCTGTTCCGAGTTTCGGAGAGAAAGATGCAAGAGGTTTAAAAAGACAAAACGAAAATTTCCTCTCCCTAAAAGAATTACGTATACTCGCTTCCCAAACTTGAAAGCACCAGAGGTCTGTGCAGGGTGGATGAAGAGGGTGGTGGGAATCCCTGGCTTCGACTCTGAAAGCCCTGCGTGTGAGCCGTCCGTCGAGGTGGTTGGCTCGCTGTCCCTCCGCTGTCTCTGCGAGGCGGATAGGGAGGTGGGGAGAACCCGCCGGACCCGAGATCCGGCTCCAGTTAATTAAAGTCGAGGGGAGGGTCCCGCCGCGCCGGCTAATCCCCGCGCGGCGCTGCCCACCGGCCCGGAAAAGCCTCTCGGCGGTGCCCGAAGCTGAGATTGGGGCTGCAGTTTCGGTGGGGGCGAGAAGCCGCAGCGAACTTGGGCGCTCCGGGCCTTGGGTTTCAGATGCTCGCCCGAGGCCTCCGAGAAGAGGAGAGCATTTAGGAGACGTCGATCAGCACTGTGATTAAAAATCCAGCCCAGGGTATTTTTAATCACTTGCCACTCAGACGCCAGCGAGCAGCTCGCCTGCCCCTCACGGCTTTAGGGAATTCGGTGCCCGGCGCGCGCGCGAGGCCAGGGGAAGCTTGTTGGTTTGAAGCAGGATGGGCCCACGGGGAATGAGGAGTTGGGTTCAACTGCTTATAGGAAACTGGGAGCACCCGCAGCTGCTCCCCCATGACCGACAGAATCCGGGCAAGCCCGGGCCTCATAGCTGGGGTATGGCTAAAAGAGGGTGCGCCCGAGGTGCAAAGCCCAAATACTCACCCAGCAGCGAGGAGAAGGGGGCCGAGGTCTCGATGGCGCTTTGGAAGTTCTCCTCCATCTTCAGGCCGTCCAGCATGTTCAGGCCGGGCGGGGAGGACCTGCAGGGGAGAGGACACGATGCTGCTGGCGTCTGTGTCCTGTGGGATGCCGCGCGCGCAGCAGCCGCACTCCTGGGAAAGAGCGGAAGGAGACCTGAACAAGCCGGAGGGTAGAGTCCAGTTAGAAGTATGGGTTGGGGGAGAGAGAAGAGTCACCGGGAATTGCTCCGACTGATCTGATTTCACCCGAAGTCACCGCGTTATGTACTTAGGCCTCCGCCCCCCAACTGCGTTTCTTCCTTCCCTGCTCCCCACCCCCTCACCCCGTTCCCCAGCCCAGGTTTCCCATCCCTAGTCGGACTCCGCCCCAACCTACACTAAAGTGGGCCCCAGGGACGTCTCTGCGGGAAACCAGCTACTGGAGTGAGGTGAGGGATAAAAGAATGGGGCTCT